TCCCTGCCATTTTTTTCCCACTCCGCACACTCCAAACTGTCGACAGAAAATCAGCCGTCATAATGGGCTCGATCGTCCTCCCTCACTTGCAAACAGCCTGGCATGTGGACCAGGCGATCCTCTCTGAAGAGGAACGCCTGGTGGTGATCCGATTCGGGCGAGACCCCGATCCCGACTGTGAGTGCCACTCTCATTCATTGCCAGCTCCCAGACTAACCCATTCTCCCAGGTGTCCGCCAAGATGAGCTCCTCTACAAGATTGCTGAGCGGGTAAAGAGTGAGTGACCAATATACCCCCAAAGTAAACCGAACAGCAGCTAACAGGAGTACCCCAAGACTTCGCCGTCATCTATCTATGCGACCTTGACCAGGTCCCAGACTTCAACCAGATGTACGAGCTTTACGACCCGATGACGATCATGTTCTTCTACCGCAACAAACATATGATGTGCGATTTCGGCACGGGAAATAACAACAAGTTGAACTGGGTGCTGGAGGACAAGCAGGAGTTGATCGACATCATCGAGACGATTTACAAGGGTGCCAAGAAGGGCCGTGGTCTGGTGGTCAGCCCCAAAGGTACATCCGATCTACGTCTTGTAGTATATATGCCATTCGCTAACAGCCAGCTTTTGCAGATTACTCGACCCGGTACCGATACTAAACATTGCCTCCCTCGCCGCGTGATCACCCTGGCACCGGCCAGTGTGTGTATCGCTTCCTTACGACATTTTACGACGATCACTAGACTTGATCTGGCAACAATAAAACCCGCAAATGTGGTCATGGTTCTGGCGTTTTTTGTTTCCGCGGAGTCGCTTTTGCAATCGTTTTAATTGGGGGGATGAACATGTTTCACATACAGGCCTCAGCTTTTGAGGTCTAAATTTCTTGATAAACAACTAAGAATTGTTAAAGGCTTTATCAATCGTTCCATGAGTAGTAGCTGTAGGCCAGCATCGTAAATCATATGTAGAGTGCCTCTTATGATCTCCATCTGGAGAAAATCTCACCTTGAGGAAGTAAAATATATTTCAGGAAGCGATATAAAACTCATCATACAACTTTCAATTGAAACAAAGAATTGTGGCGCGTTGCGCAAGCTATCCTATTTTTTTTTTAAACATGAATTTTGACGTAACGCACTTCCAACACCACACCTCGCAGATCTGCCTTCAATTCTCTCAAATACCTATCTACAACCACAACCAAGCAACAAAATGATTGATCAACGCATTTTTGAGAATCTCCAGACGAAGATCGACGAGGAGAGCACCGTCCGGGATGTAAGTCAGACCAACGCGTCCGGAGCTTGGTGAATTCTTCGCGCGCCAAGCCTACACCGGCGTCAAGACCATTGAGCCAGGAAGACCGCCAGATGGCTAACTATTTTGGATAGGAGCTACATGAAATTGTCCACACACTTGCCAGAAGAGGTATGCTCTGCAATTCACAACTTCGACCAGGACTTCTGAAGTGCCTGCCCTGCCGGGGACGACACTCCGAGGTTGAAGTCGCAGGTCGAACATGAAAACTGATGTTGAATGATACAGGACGTTCCACACAGGCTATCCTGTCGCGAGCTCATTCCACGCCCGCTGATCAGTGTAAGTATCTATTATCTATATTTCATTCTCTGATGAGAGGGTTGGTGTATAATCCCATTCGACTTTGAACTCACTTCTTGATCACTCCTCTTTTCCCTCTCTTTTCTTCGCCATATAACGTTTGAATCCCAACACGTTTCCACCAGCCAACATTTCGCACCACTCGTCTATTCTTTATGAATCATCTCACTGATTTCTACAACAGTGAAGCCCGTGCTTGACGATGTCACCAAAGAAATCCTTGCCCAGAAGGAAGAGGTTGCTCGCCTGAAGGCCGTGGCAGACCAACATCCCTTCTACAAGTATAATGGGCTCTGGACCCGTGAGCTGCAAAATCTGGTTTGTTTCTGGAATGCAATGCCCGAAGACTTCTGCTGATCCAATCTACTAGGTCGCCTCTATTGAGCTTTGCGCATGGCTGGGAGGACTGCAAGAGCACAAGGGACCCAACTCAACATCCTTCATGACCATTGAGGATGTGGGCAAGTTCCTGGATAGTACGTTTTACTTATCTCCATCTATGATGAGCACCACGGGTGCTGTATGCATAAATCGACGTACAATACTAACTGGCATTTCTTTCATTAGTTCCTGTCAACCTCAAGGAGCAGGATGCCTTCCACCTGACGATTGAGGAGTACCTACTGGCAGTGATTGCCATGGTTGAGGAACTGGTTCGTTTCCCGAGAGCTCAGGGATTTTATGTCTAGCCACAGCTAATTTGTTCCCAGGCTCGCTTGGCTGTCAACTCAGTCACCCTGGGTGATTACACCCGTCCCATGCAGATTGGCAACTTCGTCAAGGAAGTGTTCGCTGGGTTCCAGCTCTTGAACTTGAAGAACGATATCCTGCGCAAGCGCAGCGACGGTATCAAGTACAGCGTACGTTGTGATCATTGCAATATCTATTTCGCAGTTTTCAATTTCTAATTTGATTGCACTACAGGTCAAGAAGGTTGAAGATGTGGTCTACGACCTGTCGCTACGGAATCTGGTTCCCAAGGCTGGTTCCTCTGCTTGAATTGTGACATCAGGGACTCGCAAGCACACCGAGTCGGGCCTCATGCTAGGGGAAAACGGATATAGACCCAAGGAAATGATCTTGCGACTTTTACAAAATTGATATCAATGACTTTTGAGACTGGGATATGAATTACTATTACCGCTCGGTATAATTCCCATTGTAGACCGGAATCGTAAACCGAAAAGAAGTAGTTATGTCACAAGCGAACCGGGATATAGATACAAGAAAACAGATTAAGGCACCCCCATCATCATTCCGAAAATAACACCTTCAGCACAACCTTACGACAGCTTAGCCTGCTCAGCACCAGCCTCACTCTTCTTCTGCGAAGCAAGAGTACCCTCCTTCTTCGCCTTCTCGATCTCCTTCACGATAGTATCATGGAGTGTCTCGGGCTTGGTGAGTGAAGCCCAGCGGTTAACAACCTTGCCATCAGCAGCGACGAGGAACTTCTCAAAGTTCCACTTAACGCGCTTCATGCCCAGGAGCCCAGGCTGCTGCTCCTTCAGGAAAGTCCACACAGGTGCAGCGTTTGCGCCATTCACATCCAATTTTCCAAGAACGGGGAAGGTAACGCCGTAGTTGAGCTGACAGAAAGACTGGATATCATCGTCCGAGCCAGGGTCCTGGCTACCGAACTGGTTGCACGGGAATCCGATGACGGTGAAATCTTCGGGGTACTGGCTCTTCAGGTCCTGGTAGAGCTTCTCAAGACCCTCAAACTGGGGTGTAAAGCCGCATTTCGAGGCTGTGTTCACGACTAGCACAACTTTGCCGTTCAGCGAGGAGAGAGGGAAGGGAGCGCCCTTTTCTGTTCGTATGCGGGGTTTGGTTAGCGACTAGGTTCTTCGCAGCTTAAATTTGGATGCGATGAGGGGGAGAAAAATAGGCAGATGACCACGCAGATTATACGTACTATCAAGAGGCTCAAAGTCGAAGAAAGATGTAGCAGACGACATGGTTGTTATTTGACGTGGAAATGCGAAAATAGGAAACTGTCTTTGCAATGTTCGCGGGGATCGATATGACGTCGTTGGTAGCAGAGTTGATCGGAGAGACTTGGCAGAATGTGATAGGGGGAAAATTTGCGAACAAGAGAACATGACTCTGTTCTTGTATTCTGTCTGATAATCTAAATCGACCTCGGTTGATTCACTTTCTTACCAATTGGCCAAGGGCTAGCCACGGGGTATCCAGAGGCGCCGACGGAATTGGAAATCGTCCGAGCCGATTGATGATTGGCTTTGGTTTGGCTATCTCTTTGATTGGTTGATGAGACTGCTTAATAACCTTGAAACTGCACGGAGTACGGAGATCCATATAACTAATGCAGTGCATAACATTATTCCAAATCATTGCTGACAGTAATCGATGCAATCTAGCCCTGAGGCTCAGAAGATTCCATTAATAGGGGCTTTTTATTGGGTGCCGAAGTTATACCTAGGTACCGACTGAGCAGGTTTTGTCAGCTCAAAATTTCGCGTCCAGGGCTGGGGTTGGGGTCACGAGCAGCCATGGATTTCAATACATGCGATATCTATTGGATCCAATATATTGCTTAGTATAACCTGCGTTTTTACATATGTAGATTATCAAGGCTAGCGTAATCGAATTATTTGATTTAATATAGGTAGGCCAAAATGTATCCAAAATATATATATATATCAAGGAGTACACGGCAGCCCCACAGAAGGTATATCTTTTTTTTTTTTTTGTTTTCTTTTTAATATCTAGGTAATCCGAGGACACGTAAAACCGATAAAAACGACCAATAGGAAACAATATGTGTCACCTGAGATCATGCCATTTGCAAGATTGGTTGTTAGCTCGTTATCACGTCAGGTATGTCAATCAGTACATAATTATATGAACAAGGCACTAGAGAATCAACCCACTACAAATAATACAAATTAAACACTGCATATGAGTACGCGAACCTTGGTGCCTGGACACAGGGTCTATATATATATATATATATATATGTATATATAATATATACTAGCATTGTTTTTGACGTGTAAGACTCAGCAAATCAAGATCACACCCAATAGGAAGTCAGTCACTGCGTCAGAATCATTTCACGGGGCTTTCAAGTGGAAGTTATCTAATAAAAGGGATCTACAGCTACTGGCGGATGCCGGGAACCAGGCAGGGGGGGTCACCAAAGCAAGGTATAATGCGTTTTTTGTTTTAAGAACTGGAGAAGAAATGAGGCAAAGAATAAAGCATGAATTTGTAGAAAGGTTGTTCCTCATTATCCATTTAAAGTCATAAGGGATCAAAGGCCTCCAAGAAGTATGGTACATAAAAAACCCCGAAGGATGATCCACATGTGGGGAGAACAGATGAAACATAAAGTATATCGCATGATTAAGCATGGCCAACAGCGTTCCCTGCAGTACCAACAGCATTACCAGCAATTCCAACAGCGCTGTTGGCAAGGCTTGGAATAGTGTCGATGGTATCACCAAGTCCGGCAGTTCCATCGCGCTTGACGGCACCACCCAAGCCGCCAGCTTTGGTTTCCTGAATAATGGCTGGAATAGCGCTTCCCAGAGTGCTGCCAATGACGTCGTTGTTGAGCTGACGCTTCCCAGCCGCGCCAGAAACTGCATTCTCGGCAGTACCAGCGACACCAGAGGCGAGACTCTCGCCAGTCCCAACAGCACTACCAGCAATTCCAACAGCGCTGTTGGCAAGGCCTGGGACAGTTTCATCGCGCTTGACGGCACCAGTCAGGCCGCCAGCTTTGGTTTCCTTAATAATGGCTGGAATGGCGCTTCCCAGAGTGCTGCCAATGAGGTCGTTATTGAGCTGACGCTTCGCAGCTGGACTGGCACCAGGAACGGCGTTCTCGGCAGTACCAGCGACACCAGAGACGAGGCTCTCGCCGGTACCAACAGCACCACCAGCAATGGCAACAGCGCCGTTTGCAAGGCTTGGGACGCTCTTAACAGTCTCACCCAGGGGAGCAGTACCGTCACGCTTGATGGCGCCAGCCAGGCCTCCAGCGGTAGAGGTGATAGGCGCAACAAAGCCGGCAGCGGCACCTGTGAGACCGCCAACAGCACTCTCAATGCCAGGAACGGTACCCTCCGCATTATTGGGGACGGGAAGAGCGGCGGAGTAGCCCAAGCCAGCAAGGGCGAGTGAAACGGTCAAGCCAGTGAACTTCATTGTTGCGATGGTGATATGGTCTCAAAGAGTTAAAAGAGTGACTTGGCGAAGAAGAAAAAGAAGGATAGACAGGTAGAAAAGAGTGACTGGAAGTGAATTAATGATTTGTGTATAGAAAAGAATACAAAGTTGCTGGATCTAAACGCCGGATTATATATTATTCTCTTGGTTTGTTTTGGCAGTGCGCCGCCCGGTCATCGACAGGTCCCTCGCATTGGAGATTATCAGGGGTGATGTTTTGACCGTGGTTGTTTTGGTCCATTAAGGTGTTAAATTACCACGATTGGTGCTAACGGGCTGCAATCCGTCATGCCGTGCAGGTAGTTTCATCTTAGCGGAAATTGCACGAAAGAAGGGATGTATGAGCCCACATGGTCTGGAGTTAAGGTGAGTGACACGTTTCAAGCGGTGTAGTTGGAGCGACTTTACAGCAAGGTTGGACCGGACAAGACAGGCTAGTGAATTGTGGAAGCTTGTTCTGCTTTGCGGGAGATTTGGGGTTATCTCGCATAGTCTTATAGAGAAGATTGCAGCGTGGTAGATTTCGAATAGTTTATTTAGACATGTGTAACCAATATGAGTATTTCTCATTCACAAGAAGAGTAATACTCGATAACAATCCGGAACTATCTCAAAAAGACAGGGATGTATATCAGTCGGTGCATTGACTGTAGGCTCAGGCAAGGGTCGTCATATGCGGGGCCTCGAATTTATGTCGATCACAGCTTTCCCAGGGGGACTGAACGTGAGTTTGACCAAGTGGACCATTCAGACTGGGAAAACAAAGCAGTTCGTCATGAGGCATCCTTGCATTACCTCCGCATGAAACTCAGCCTCTACCGAGATTGCGGCAGCCACCCTCCCCTTGGTGGTTACTGGCATATGGGGGCACAGCCCGTTTGGAAGTGGAACCGAAGACGGTCTATATATTTTATTTCTTATTTTTTAGGTTCAGCAAAGTCTCTTCAGTGAGAGAACCAGACCACTGCAGTGGACATCATAGAGGGCACCATTGGGGCAAACTGTGACCTTGGGATCACCTGGAATGATTACTGGGGTGTTGAATCGCCAGAAAACCATTTAACATACATAATACACATGGCTGAGGAAAGTCAACGTGTAGCGATTAAAAACAAGCTGTTAAGTTGAGCAGATTTCTGTTAAGACAATGCAGCTCAAAGGTGCCAATTGTGTATCCCAGACAAGACAGGCCACTCAGCATCAGGCAGTGTTAGAGCGTAGCCGGTTGATTGTCACCTCCCAGCTCAATGGTACGAATAGTTGGGTAGATCCTGCAGTGACCATCGTGACCCGAAGGTGAAATACAGGCCCTGGGTGTATGAAAAGAAGCATGGGGGCGTAGGAGTGCCTTACACCTGAACTCATGTACCGACATAGATTGGAACCCTAACTATGGCATGAACTGGAAACATGAAGGTGGTCCTCCAATCAATCCTTTGCAAATAACATGCGTGATTCTGGAGTGTACAGAGTAATGCACCATTGGAATGTGCAATGGGTTCCAGGAGGCGAATGTAGAGTGGAGAGATGTGAGTTGTACAGAGTAAGTCCTGTTGACATTGAGGTTGTTTGTATTATTTGTGTAGTTTGTGTAGTTTGTGTAGTTTGTCAAGTTTGCGTGATTTGTATGATTTATATAATTTGTCCGGTTTATATTGTTTGTTTGTTATGGTAGTGATGTTTTGGAATGTGGAAGGCAAACGGATTGGTGCCTGAGGTTTTGAACGTTGTCACGTCAACGGCCGCCACTAGTCCTAAAGAGGTAAGGCACAACATAACAGTGGCATGGCAGCTGCCCCAAACATCATGAACTCGGACTTCGTGTTGATTTCTTTCTCCTCTGATCCCCTCACCTGTACAGGCTTCTCGCATCCAGGCTTTTATTTTCTCTTTATCCTTAACATTCTATACTCATAGATCTCCCTCCCTCAGTTTGATCATGAGCGTTTAGGTTTTACTTTTACTACCGACTATTTTCTTACCTTTGGCTTTGCTACTCTCCGAGTTGCACCAACACAACCCCAGGACCTGTAACGGTACCATATCGATCTGTCTTCGCTGTTTATCAGCGTTACACAATCATTCCAGGTCTAGCCAGCTGCCAACAAACAGCCCCCAATATGACTACCGACTTCAACCACGGCGGGCAGATGATCGAGTACATCCAAGGTTGGTACAATGTTCTTCGACAATTTGAAGGTATTTTACCCAGTGTTGAGAGCTAAGACAAACCACCAATTAGACCGACTATACCTTGCATCCTATGATTCTGCGCCCAGCTCCAGAACTCCGTTTCCCTTCCATCTGGACGCACCAAAATCACCAAGCAAGCGAGCACGTGCCCAGCCCGCCACTCCAAGCAAGCGCCGCTCTCCCGTGTACTTCACCATTGATGACACTCTTCTTTACAATGCCTTCCACGCTGATTTCGGCCCACTCCACATTGGTCACCTCTACCGCTTCGCCGTGCTTTTCCATGAGATTCTTGGTGATCCAGCCAACAGCGACCGTCCGGTAGTCTTCTATAGCAAGACTGATGCCCGGAGTCGCGCCAATGCGGCCTGCCTTGTTGCATGCTATATGGTCATGATTCAATCCTGGCCACCCCATTTGGCTCTAGCACCAATCGCACAGGCAGACCCTCCTTACATGCCTTTCCGCGATGCTGGATACAGCCAGGCAGATTTCATTTTGAACATTCAAGATGTTGTGTACGGAGTGTGGAAGGCGAAGGAGCAGTCTCTTTGCGGACTTCGCGACTTCAATCTCGAGGAGTAAGTGCTAGGTACTCTTTACACAGCCGAAGATTGAATACTGATTCTGTTCAATAGGTACGAGAAGTTCGAGCGAGTCGACATGGGTGACTTCAACTGGGTTACGCCGGATTTCCTTGCCTTTGCATCTCCTCAGCAGCAGCCCGTCGAACCAATTCCGGTCAACACCCCTGAATATAACGCATTGCCTGCAACAATTTCGGAAATCTCTTCCTCAAAGCTTCCAATGCCGTTCAAGAATGTTCTCACCCACTTCCACCAGCGCAACATCGGTCTTGTTGTACGACTTAACTCGGAGCTCTACTGCCCCTCTTACTTCACCGCAATGGGGATCTCTCATATTGATATGATATTCGAGGATGGCACGTGCCCTCCCCTCCAGCTTGTCAGACGGTTTATCAAAATGGCCCATGAGATGATCACCATCAAGAAGAAGGGTATCGCAGTTCACTGCAAGGCAGGCTTGGGTCGTACGGGTTGCTTGATTGGCGCCTACCTGATCTACAAGTATGGATTCACCGCCAATGAAGTAATTGCCTTCATGAGATTCATGCGACCCGGTATGGTCGTCGGACCTCAGCAGCACTGGCTCCACCTCAACCAGGGTGCCTTCCGTGAATGGTGGTTTGAGGATAGCATGCGCGAGAAGCTGGCACAATCCACACCCGTCACTCCCCGAGTGTCGACGAAGAAGCGCACCAGCAACGGAGTGGTCTCCACCCCACCGAACAATAGCCACTCCAAACGTGCAGCCCTCGGAGAGATTGATCACAACGAAGCCGCATCCTACCCAGACCAGGATCTTCCTGCACCAACCCCTGGCCAGCCTCGCAAGTCCCACCGAAAGGACTCACGGCACCACCCTTATTCCCGAACTGCCTCCGGATCCCTCGCTGTTGAACACGAGCAGCGCAGCCAGCGCAGCCACAGGAAGAGCAACGAGAGCAGTGAGAGTGAAGAAGAGATTCAGCTTCGCCGATTAGCCCAGCGGTCATCTAGGTCTCCTGTTGCTTCACCCACATCCCGTTCTATCAGTTACTCTGCCACTGTCACAGCTAGCTACACCCTCGCAGAAGACAACCACAAGGATCAGGAGAACTGGGTTGATCACTCAGCACCCAAGACTCCCGTGACACGCAAGAGCGGCGCTGCCCCTATCTCGGTCAGCAAAGTTCGCTCTAGCCCTCGCCGGGCAGCGGAAAATACACGCAGCGAGTCTCGTGGTGTTCGCAAGCCTAGTGGCCGTATTGGTAGCAATACCATCAGCCCCGCACGGGCAATTAAGACCATCCACTAAACCTCCTGCTATCTTCTTTCACCCCTGGGAACTCCGCATGTTTCCTGGGAGTGCTTCTTCTTCCATTCTTTTCGTCCTACTGGGACAATACTTCTGCATACCCCTTTTTCGTGATGCATCTGGATGCTTTTTAATGTTTGAGTTTGCAAATCTCGGTCTGTTGTTGTTTTCTGGAGCGAATACTGGTTATTGGGCATGTTATGCACGGCGTTTGGTTTTGTTGTTGATTGGCGACTCGTTAGACGTCTTGCAATTGGGTACCGATTCACTTCGTCCCACATGTTGTTTTGTCTGCGGCGTTCGCTCCTGTATGTGTCAATTCTACGTCGATATGACAATGCTGTTCATGAGCTCGCTCTATATTTAAATTCCCCCTAATCTTTCGTATTTCTTGGTCTAGGTAGTCAGTATGTCATCTGAGGTAGGCTATACTTGGCTTCGTTACTCGGCCATATTTCGACTGCGCACCATATAACATCACTCACACAGCAAGCTCTACATGGGGGTACATGGGGTAAAACCCAGTGTGGGAAAAAGTATGAATATTCCATATCCCTCGTATGCTATTTCATGTTTCCAGATTGAGGCCGTAATCAGCCCCCCACCCCAACTCAACTTATCAATTGGCAGCTAGAAACTATATACGCCGTTAGCACTCGTTCCATTCCACACTAAGATATCAACTCTCACCTCTTGAACCTCTTCTTCCTCAACAGCCGAGCTATCCACCTCGCTCTTCCCAATAAGTCCAAGCTTACCCTTCCTCACAAACCACCACAGCTCCCTCCGATCCCCACCCAGCTCCCCCGCAACATCTTACTCTTCAACTGGCGCACGAAGTCATTATAAATCACTGGTTCCTCGTAATCCACCAGCTCTTCGCGCATAGTACCAAGACCCTCAATAACACGGTCGTAATTTGAGTGACCAAGACTGTGTGTGATCTGGGTCTCAATGATTTTAGCCATTTGTTGCACAGCGTCGTGGATTGCATCGATGTTTTCTGCGCGGGAAAGTGTTTGCTTGAATTCTGGGATTGCATTCTCGGTGGAAATTTTCGTTCGCTTGGGTTCGAGGCTGAGAAGGGCGTCAACGTCCAAACCTGAGAGGGGTTTCTCTGTTTCGCGTTGCCGTTTACGGCCTTTTGTCTTTGGTGGAACTATAAAATAGAATATGGTTGTGAGTAGGCTTTCTTCTGAATGTCGTTCGAAAATCGGGTTTACCTTTCTTCACATCTGCTATAGACATCAATGTCTCAAGGTGGGACTTGGAGTTCTTGACCATCTCTTCTGACGGGTGTGCGAATTCGGTGAGTCGCTCTGAGGGATCAAGGATAGGATCATTAGGATGCACAGCACGGTATCGAACAGCTGATTCGATGCGGTGCAGTAATGGCGAGAATGACTCGTCAATTGGTAAATCGTCAGTGCGTTCACTAGCTCTTTTGGTTAGCTAGTTAACCGAATAGTGAAGTAAACTCTGCCTTTACTTACCCTTCATCATTCATGGTGACAAAATCCATGCTGTCTACGTAATCACTCATCGCATTTTTCAAAGCCGCGCTTGGGAGGTTGCGATGTTCAGTTACTACCTTTCCAGAAACAGTGATGATCTTATCCAAAGGTGGGAACCGATATGACCGCACATCTTCTGCAAATGGAAGCTGTACTTCAATCAAGCACTCATAGTCTGCCTCCACTGATGGAGCTAGCAACACGAGCATCGGTGGTTTGGATTCTTTGGTCACCAACCGGGCAACCGCATAGGATTCCAATTCGTAGAGTGCGTGAATGAGAGAAGACAACGCAAGAGACGCATTGTCATTTGCACGCTGAGGAATGATGATATTCGTGTTGGACATGTGCATGTACCGGTCATACTAAGTAACAGAATTAGCTGCTATAACATTTGGGATCGGGGTGGAAACACACCTTATCCTTCTGAACAAACCCGATCAGCCCCATACCAGCAAATGTTTGTAGATTTGCCACATTCTCATCAGTTTGTTCGATAGGAACTGCTGTACGTCCGTACTCGTACCCCTTGGCGAGGTCATCGCGTTCAACGTCGATCTTACCACCTGGCGCGGACTCGTCGATGATCTCATATGTCCGCGATGTTCGCACTGATGCGAGAGTGTCACCTTCACCATTGCCTTTGACTGGTGCTTGGCTTCCGGGTTCAGTGCCGGAGCGTGGCACAAACGAGCTCGCTGAGATCGGCTTGGCGACATAAGTTCGGAAGTATCGCTCCACTGGTATAGTGATTGCTGTGTCATACTCCTCGGGATTGCCGAGCATGAGATTTCCCTTGAAAGACGGCATACTCTTGGTCACTTTGATGCGGGGAATATCTAATTCCGAAACAGCTTGCTCTAGCGTGCCGTAAACACCTTCGCAGTCCTCAGTCAGGGTTCGGAGAAGAGTCTCATTCTCAGCCTGAGGAAAAGTTGGTTAACATGAATATTGAAACACATCGAAGCCGGTTTAGTACCTTTCGAATGTCTTTGTCTTCTTCCTTTACACCATACTCAGCATCATCGAAATCGGCCCCACTAGATATTATTAGCATGGATATAAAGTCATAACAGCAAGAAACATACATGATCACCAACTCAATGTTGACTTCTTTCATCTTTTCGATGATACCTTCCATGTTATCATCGCTCATCGCACCGGTACCATTGGTCACTAGAACGATCTTGCGCTTGTATTTATTTTTCTTGGTGTACTCAATGATCATCTGCATGGCAATGACGATAGAAGAGATGGCTTGTATAGAGTCAGAACGAACATTTTGGCAAGAGTTCAACTGTCACATACCATCACCTCTGTTAGTCTTGCTGGGTTTGATTATCTCTCGGAGTTTCCGGATATCAGGCATGAGGACCCTAAAAGGCGATTTAGTCAAGTGACTCAATATGAAAGCGTCAATTCATCAAGCCACACATACTGGCCAAGCCCGAAGAGGACAGAAATATTAGAGAAGTTCTCTTCTTCTAAGTCGTTGATAGTTCCTGTTCCGAACATGAGACAAGGCTCCCAATGGGTGCTGACCTGTGGGCTACCGCTCACCATCTGTCCTGAGACCGACCACGCCAACTGTAGCTGTCTTACGACCGGTAGCCACCTAGATTTGTCAGATCTCTGGCGTTGAACAATGTCGAATCACATACTGTGGCGGTAATCCTATCCCAGACATACTGCATGGCCCATTCGAGATCTGTAATAGGACGGCCATGGTGATGCTCGCCCATAGACCGTCCCATATCTACAATGTAGACTGTAGCCTCTTTCTCCGCCATGATGATGATGTTGGGAAAATGGCAACTCAAAATTGCTTGAGGCTCAAGACAACAGGCAGACGCGTGATATTTCCACTTGCGGTTTAGACCCAAACGCGAAGGCACATGACATCACACGTCGTCTTTATTGGTGTTTGGTGGTCTGTGCGTCGTTATAAGACACCTTTGACTATTTGGCGGTGGAAATAAGTGATTTCCTAAGAATCAGGATGTAGCGATAACGTCCCCTTCTTCCCCTCGATGCAACCTGCCTCACTCCAACTTTATCGCCAACTCAACTCTCCAGAGATCATAACATATCCGATATCATGGATCCTCGCCCCTATCACGTTTTAAGGTTTGTTTATTATTGAAAATTATGGCTCATGTTCTAATAAATGATGTAGCTACGGCACCCTTCTAGGGACACAATTCTACCAGGTGAGATCCATAGTTGAATCGGGCGCATATCGAATCGTCCCCGCCCAAAGAATAGTCTAACATGTCCAAAGACTTTTGTCGGAGGCTTCGTTTCTTTCCGTGCCCTTCCGCGGCCCCAGTTCGCTAGTTTGCAGACCGCCATCTTCCCCATCTACTTCTCACTACAATCCGCGCTGCCTGTAGTGGTCGCCTTGACTGCTTCCCACGGTGGGCAAGTATTGGGTCTGTCTGGTCTCACTGCACCTGAGAACCGCCTTGACACTCTCTTGCCTCTGGCAACCGTGGCAGTGACCGGGTTGGTGAACATGTTCGTGTTGCGTCCCATCACCACCAATGTGATGCGCGAGCGCAAGCATCAAGGTGCGTTAGCTGCTGGCACTATGTTTCGAGTAAAATTCAATTGAGCATTCTAACATTCGCAGAAACCCGTGATGGAAAGAGGAGCTACGACCCAGCGCCTCACTCCAAGGAGATGCTGGCCCTGAACAAGAAGTTTGGCCGCGTACATGGTATCTCAAGCTTGGTCAACTTGGCCAGCCTGGTTGCTACAATTTGGTACGGTGTTGTGCTAAGCAAGAGAATTGAGTAATTTGACAATAGCGGTCAATACCAATGCTCAATAGGGGGCTCGATGTATATAACCGTTGTGCACATTTCGTTCATTCTCCCCTCTTGTCTACTGTATAAATGAAATACATGATACGTTTGGTCCTTCAACGTTCATCTGAAGAGCTACTAATTACATTGCCTGTAATGATATCAGATCCACAATGCTAGGGCTACATAATACGGCAAGCACATCCCACAATCGATTAAAACCGGCCCCGGGGACCTATTCGTCCGATACCACCTGCTGCAGAATGTTACTACCTCACTACCCTCGCTTCTATCTCTGCGTCATCTAGTCATTACCCACGCATTCTCTTTCTTTTCCTGTCTTGGAACTTATGTCGCCTACTTCCACAAGACGCTCTGCGCCTTGATAGAATTCTGGCAGAGGCTCTAGCCTCTGACGAAGGACCCAAACGCGGAAGTGCCACAAAGCATTCTTGATCTGGTATGATGCATGCTTGCGGGTTGGGACAGAGAAGACCTGGTCCAGCTCTTCCAGAGTACGAGCTGAAGACAAAATATTAGTACTGTTAATCTCGAATAGACCACGAAACTTACACTTTGTTTCAGGCACAAATAACAAGACCAAAACCCAGCCGATTATACACCATGCAGCATACCAACCGAAGGCACCCTGGGGTTTGAAAGCATCGACCAGATTCGGCCAAGTGAAAGACAAAATGAAATTAAAGCACCAAGTAGTCGCTGTCGCCCACGACATACCGACGTCACGGACTTGCAGCGGGAAACACTCGGCGGAATACGCGAATGGAACGGGCCCTTCTCCAGGAGAGTAGAATACTTCAAAAAGGTACATGCCCGTGGTGACCATTGCAACTCTCTTTTTGCTTGTTTTATTCCCCTCTTCAATCCAGAAGGAAAAACCAGTCCACAGGAGGGTGATAGCGAGGAAGGGGAAAGTGAATAGTAGCAAATTTCGCCGACCCCAGGTATCGATCGTGAAGAAGGCAGGTATGGCAAAGACCCAGTTGAGAATACCGGTTCCCATGGACGCCAGTAGCGCGCTGGTCAGACTGTAGCTTGCTTCGGTGAAGATGGAGGTAGAGTAGTATGCAATGACGTTGACTCCACAGAATTGCTGCATGAACATCACGATCCAGCTAGCGAGCGTGGCACGGCGGTTGCGGGGGACGGTAAAGAGCTCAATGAACATCGTGAAGAAATTTTTGCCCTTGTTGATCTTTCGCTCAAGCTCAACGCCCACATATGCATAATACAAATCTCTTGCAGCCTGAATGTCTGTTGGGCGGAGAACACGGAAATTGGTGTAGGCCTTTTGAATTTTGCCGTGCTGGATCAGCCATCTTGGAGATTCCGGGCATAAGTAGACTTGAGCGCAGACAATCAGCGGCAGTACAACAGTGGATCCTAACATGAGACGCCAGCTGATGTCTCGGTCTAGACTCATGAAAGCAACACCCATTATGTTGCCAAGCATGATACCGAAGGCTGTCCACATTTGCCACATCATAACGAGAGCACCTCGAATTGGAGCGGGAGAGCATTCTATAGAATTAGCGATGACAAAAAGGAAGTCACGCAACAACACTTACCCGCGGCGTATACAGGTACGGTACTCGATTTCGACCCGATACCAAGGCCAAGAACAAAGCGGGCAATGAAAAGATTGACCCAAGTATTTGCAACACCTTCCCATACTGAGGCAACAGCTGCAATAAAGCATGAGATGAAAATTGTGCCGCGCCGGGCAAATAACCGATTGAGAGGCTCAGTAAGCCAACAACCGATAATCGCGCAAGCTAAGTATGGGGCACCAACAACAAGACCTCGAATGTTTTTGGAAGTGATGTTGAGTTGCTAGAACAAAAAGTCAGTCTATGCTAGCACAACCAAGGACGGGAAACGTACATCTTCAGCAAAGTAGATAGCCTGGGCACCATTATTGACAGTTTCATCCATACCTTGGACAGCTGCAGCGAGCGAGCACATTGCTGGAGGTAAAAGAAAGGAAGTTAGCCCGGGCTAATGGATCACTTGCATGCCCACACATACATGCTAGAAAGTATAACTGCCACGGCTGTGACCACTTATGGGTACGTTCACGCTCAAGCGCCTCCCTCTCTTCCTCCGACAATTCGGGCAGACTTGTTGCCGATGCGGGATTTTGTGAAATAAGAGCACCCTTCTTGAAAACCTCGATATGGTCCATCAAGTCGTACTTGTTACAAAACTCGATGACATCTCTAAAAAGTTGTTCGCGGGAGATTCCGGCAAGAGGGTTCTCGAATATGGCATTGATATTGCCAGGAGAGCGGCTCTCAAGGTCTGCCTTCTCTTCCTTTTGGACGTTTGTAGATGGGCTCTCCTCTATATGCTCTATCTTCCCCGCGGTGGAGTCAGTCATTTCATTTTCCTTCATCCTGGAAGAATGTATGGTGTCAGATGATGATCAAATATGCCACGAAATGGCAGCAATCTACTGCACAATTATCTGTCTTCTGGGGGTAGCCAAGTCAGCCAAAAGATGTTTTCACACAAAGAATCATAAGCATGAGGTAGAGTGACCTTATCACAGCTGTGCGGATTACTGTAGCCTATCAAGGCAAATCTAGAGCAATAGCGAGAATATCTTCATGCTTCAAGGGTGGGGAGTAAAGGGAACAGCTTGCTTTATAGAAAAGTATCCTTTCGCCACCAGCTTTGGGACACGCTAAATCGCCGAGCTTGAATCCGGGGGGTTGTCTCCCACACGACATCATTCACTGGAAAGCATAGAATGTCTCATGTAATATAATTTATATAGGTAGCCCGCAATCGGTCAAGAGGGCGGCATCTCTATCAAATCATTGGATAATGAGCCCTCGAGCCCTCGAACTCTGGGCTAGAGAGGATTGCAGAACGAACCAAAAAGCAGGACAGAACATTGCGCACCGAAGAAAGAGACGCCGTTCCCTGTCACTGAATATTTTCAGAAACGGAGATTCCCCATGGGGGTGGAGTAGATCGATGAATCATGTATCAATCAATGGATCACTACGGATGGACACCAATGGCATCGAAGTCACGATCCAGAAAGTAAGGATACGGATACTTCCTTCCTATTTGGGTGGCACACTCGACAATTAAACCTTGGAACCAAGCAATAGAAGCAATCGAAGCAATCGGAACGGTAGAGAGCACAAAGTGATCAGCGCAAGACCGACCAATCAATAGACTTGTTTAGGAATTTTACGTCATTGCGTATACTAGAAGCCGGCTTTGTATCCCTACACAAAGAACTATGCGGGGAAAACGGGTGAGGTCCGTTCAAATACCACCTAGTTGGACGTCATTGACGGCATGGGCCGAAGTTTGAACAGACCTTCAATGTACAAGTATAATATAGTCATGGCAAAGGATGTCGGAGTTTTATTCCAGTCAATAGGGGTTAGTGGCCTAGTGGCCAGATGTTTTGATGCTTATTCGCTTCATTCTTCTTAGCAAGGCATGGGTTCTCTACCGACGTTAAGCATGATGGACGCGGTGTACGGGGGCCTGAGCGCGCCAGGACGCAACTCTCTCATTAGATAATATTGCCAGATGGTAATTTTCCTGCACCCTCACTTTCGAAGTTCAACTGGTATACAGTCAAAATCGTATCAGCTTGCCTACCATATGTAAACTCTAAGCCCATTTAATTAATAACTTATAAATTTACACTTAATGGTAATTCTATAGTATCCAACTACTTCATCCCTTTTTTTTAAAAAAAAAAATCAAAATCAAAATCCCCCAACAAGGGCATAGTATAAAAGCCACAATAAATTAGAAGAGTGTTATAGTTCAAGTTAAATTAGTGTACTATATCCTCTAAGAGAGTACCCTACCCTTCTTTAGCTTCTTGGATATTGATATATGTATGCATGCTATTGATATCCCTAGTTATATATATAGAAAAGTCTCTTATGTAAAATATGCTTTTTACCACCTTCCTATATATCTAAAATAGCCAGTGAAAAGACATGGCAAGGTCGTATAAGCGGCGGAATATTGTTGTGTATAAAAATAAAAGAGAAGTTGAAAATAGTAGTTATACAGATTGAAATTAGCATACATACTTCGAGGGGGCGGTGAGAACTGCAGCCTGGCAGTATCCAATGAGAGAGTTATGTCCAGGCGATTGGCAAAAGAGATTATAGTTTGAATTGTTTCTTTATTTAAAGTAAAACTTTGAAAATCATGGTTGCATATAGTACTTGCAGTGTAGGCATTTAAGATATGTTTATGGGGGGTTGCAGTAAGAATGGTCTCCCTACGGATTAGCTGCTTCGCCGCCTGTAGGCATTTTCTGAAAATGGTGTATTTGTACTCTGAACTCCATACAAAGATTGTGGCAAATATGGTCGCGGGTAGATTGGTCAAGGGCTGTAATGACCGGACTGCGTAGGTGGGCTTGTATCGCACTGTTGAGTCCCTCATAGTGCGTCTTGGATTTATTGTGGGGTCTAGGTAGCGTTGGGGATTTATGCAATCACTGTCTCGGACAACATAAATAATTATCGCACATCTAGCACGTGATAATGCTTTAAATTGAAAAAATTCGAGTTCTAGAACACTGGGGATATGCATCAGGGATGTTGTACAACCGGCATAAGTATGCAGATAACCAATAACTTAGATACCAGTCCCCATAAATGCGTTACAGATCACAATCTCTCAAGTCCCGAAAATATTGAGAATTGGGCCAAAGCGACTATCATTACGGTGAGGGGAATGAGTCTCGGGACCTTTCCTTCACTTCCGCTTCTTAGTGGCGAACGACCAAGCTGTCGGGACTGCCAACGTCAAACATGCGTGACTAGCAGCGAATTGAACAATTTTGTGACATGAATACGAGGATTTGAACAAAAGTACAGTGTACTTACGGATACAAGCACTGACGTTGTCCGCCCCACTCCTTGGTCACTGCACGGGCTTGGTATTAATAGGGGTTCGACTTTGCAGTCTCAACGCCAGATATTCACATGGTATTAAATGTAAGCTATTTGGTTCTCCATAGATCCATGGTACATACTCCGTATTCCGAAGTAGAGGGATGTCATTCAAACTTAAATGCCTAGGTGGTGTGGCTGGCACAGATTACAGCTGTGGGGCCTCAACCCGCTTCAATGCACCTCTGATTGGTTAAAACCAGCCCCCTTTTGGCCCTGCGGATCGTCATACAGAAGTGGGCCAATCACTTTACAGTAATCAATACGCTAGCCGTTGTCGAACCACTTAGATTATCCAACTAACGCCCATTGAAAACCGTTGCACGGGATATGCACTCAAAAACTAAGGAAAAGGTACATCCTGCGGCAGCCTTCTTTACGCGAAGGAGCACTTATCCGGCTGAAGGTGCGAATGGTCGTTGGATACAACGTGGTAACGCTGGACCCGACAGTCTGGCACGCTAAAAACTGCCTTGAAGACAGAGGGGTCATAAGGGGGGGTCATAAGACTGCAGTCGGTGTGCTTGCAGTTTTCACTCACTTTTCACTTTTTCCTGATCCCTTCCATTGCCGGTTTACACCGTGCTTCGCTGCGTTCGTGTTCTGTCTTATAGATCGGAACTATCGAAGATGCAGCAAGATGCACACCGCGGATCGACTCCGGTCGAGGTTGATGTCAGTATTCTATGAAAATATCTTTTTTCTGCACCATTTCCTCTGCTTATGAAACTAACATCACTAGTCTGACCCTGACGGTTCCTCAATATACGCTGATTCGTAAGACCAGTGACTTGTCATGATGTGTATATCCTACTGACCATGGTAGACTTGACAACGCCAGCTACACCACAAGTGTGACATCGAGCGTGCTGGACTATCAGTATGTTAATGTGGCTGAAATTTGTGTTCAATGTTGCTAATAATCGCAGATATGAAGTGTGTTACATCGCTACTTGATCACGAACTGTGCTTATCAGATACAGAACGGTCGCAGATATCATTCCTATCACGAAGGAGAATATGTTCTGGTACACATGATCCTGTCAACATTTAATCTCCATCTCAGACTAATGTTCAAACAGCCAAATGATGAACGAGAGCAAGATCGCCTTGATCTGGTAAGTGTCCTCTTGATTCCGACAAGACAAAATTTTAATGATAGGTAGAGCCACCACATTTACCTAATGCTTCTCAAAGGAGAATTGTTCCAAGCACCGATCAATAATCCAAAGCGAGTACTAGATCTCGGGACAGGAACAGGTTTATGGGCAATCGAGTATGCAGAGTAAGTCTTTCCCCCCAAGATATCTATATAAACTATCCCTAACAAGCAATATAGTACAAACCCAGACTCACAGGTGATTGGTACGGCATATATCTACAGCCCGATCAAAACGTTGGCTAATTGGAATAGGAATTGACCTAAGTGCTATTCAGCCATCATGGTACGTGTCATTGTTATTATATTGACTCCTTGCATAATATTGATATATGTCTAGGGTGCCTCCAAACTGCCGCTTCGAAATTGATGACTTTGAACAACCATGGTCATATAGCAAACCATTTGACTACATCCATGGGCGCGAATTGGAAGGTTCCATTCGTGACCATGATAGTCTCTTCAAACAAGCATTTGACAACCTGAATCCCAATGGATGGTTTGAAATAGCGAGCTTCGACGTCAACACTTATTCGGACGACGGAACTCACCTCGGCGCGACGAACTTGCTCTTATCCATTAAGCACATGCACGAATCATCGCGCATGTTTGGCAAGGATATGACATCCTCCCAGTCGTGGAAAGATCGGATGAAGAAGGCCGGGTTCGTAAATGTCAAGGAAGATATCCACAAGGTATGTTGTCCCTTCTTGATGGAGAATGAAACCCCGTACTTATTGGTGAGTAGCTGCCCCAGAGTCCATGGCCCAAAGACCCCAAGCTCAAGGAACTTGGTCGGTACCATCAACTCAACATGCTTGAAGCTATGCCCATTTACACATATGCATTGTTTTCAAGGGTGCTTGGGTGGACACGCGCCGAGATTGAGGGGCTGTTGGCAGGAATTCGAATGGAGCTGCGGGATACATCGTATCACCTGTACACGAAAGTGCGGGTGGTTTACGGCCAGAAACCCGCAGGACCAGTGAGTGCCTCAGCGACGTGAATAGAAAATTTATATCCCAGAGTCATATCCCATCTATGGATCCTTGTAAATTTAGAGTTAAGGGTGTGTCACGGAACTCGGGAGTTCCCGGGGCCATGGCCTCTCCACTGTTAATGCCTCTATTCTCAGGCAAACACTATGCAGTCAAACTAGCTTTCAGCGTGGGGGTACATTATTCCTCTTTGGGGCATCTATCCTAGTTAGAGACTAGTAAAAAGCAAAATTCACATTCTTTCTGGTAGTTGGCTTCGCGTCAGAGCAGCTGCAGAATGTACATTCAATTACTTCACGCCTTGTCTCCATGTGTACATAGGTATACAACCTGCGACTGGATAATCCTTTGTGAGTGGTGAGTACGATTTTTTAGGTTTGCTAATGGAAATAAACCTGTTCGTTTGCTACCTCAATTACTTACCTGCGTCTCTTACTTTTCATATTATTTTCCTTCTCTTACTTGCTTTCCCTTCGAGATCGAAATTCAGATAGATATAGATGTACCGATAAGAGATATATGTAATTAATATGCATTAGGATATTATGAGTTATGTGTTTCGAGAGAGAGATGTATGTCTTGGTGGAAACCCCCGCATCCTCAACATCCCAGAAAGCCCGCCGGCAAAATGTGACTGAAAGAAGGGTAACGCCATGAATAAAAATAACCCCCGCCTATGTTCCGCAAAGAAAAGGCCATTGTTTTGAAAGTGTTCGTCGGTATCGTGAAAGGTGCTTGTGGGAAGCAGCCGGGGGTCAGGTTGATAGTATGAAGATCGCATATCTTGCATGGCCACGATCATCGAATATTAGGAATGGCGCTCGCTGGGTTGAAGGAAAGTTCCACCTTTTGCCGTCTTGACGAAAATACTGAGTCGCGTACATTTCTTCAAAACAATATTAGATTGGTTTGAGGATGATGTGGTAGACGGTTAAACACTCACCATTGTCAAGCTATCTTTGTCCAGAATAACGACCCGGTGGGAAAGTGTACTCGTCATATAGGTCCTCTTTGGCCGCCATGAGAGGTCCCCACTCCTTTTTATTTCCTTCCATTGTTTCTTCAAGCGCTGGAGAGGTGAAGGATGTGACTTCTCCTGAGTGGCGTTGAGATCCTCGACGAAGGAAGATTGTGATGTGCTCGATTTAGAGATAGACTCTTGTGAATCAAGATGCTCAGACATAATGTGTTGATAATTTGTAAAATTTTTAATTGCGATCTCGATTTATATTTGTGCTGCGATTTTGCAGACTTTATATCTATATTTCTTGAGATAAGGATGACATCTTAAGTATGGGTCATTTGAAAACTGTGAACCCGAGTCTCGCCCGACCGACTACCGAGATATCACCGCCGAGGTATCTCCGCGCGCCTACCCTAGGACATTTGTTTGCTTGTTTGTTTTCCCCTATTTGATATCTGATATTTCAAATCGTCGAGTTGTTTCAAGAATTGCCATTGTATGAGATCGTAGCCCAGTTCTTATTTTCACGCCAGATGACTGTTTCCTTTTACCGACTTAGGCAGCACATTTCACGTTATGTTACTGGAGATGATCAGTGAATACTGCAGTGCATGCATTATTGGGGAAAGGGGAAAGAAGGGAGAGGAAGCCTTGGAAGTGAGGAGGCGTGAGCTATGACTCGCGCTAGGTACTCCGTATAGTGGATCATGGCCCTGCCCCAGGCGCGCTAGCAACCTAAATTGTTTGATACTCTCAAAGGTCATACATCTTGTAGTCGAACCACAATGTACAAATGCACTGTCGGACTCTGATAAACTCTCGGGACAGCAGTCGTATACTCCAAGCGATCATATCTCGAGAGGTCACGAACGGCGGAAGTTTGCTGTATGACTAGAGTGGTGTATGGAAAAGTTCTGATTTGCGGCGCACTAGTTTCTTAGTAGTATATATATCTTTGATAGAAGATGGGAAGAATCCTATAAAAGACATAGTGGAAAAAGAAACCATCGACAAAGCTGCCAAATGATACCAGATTTTACCCTATCTTTCCTTCTGTCTTCTCTTCTTAGGAAGTAGGTTCTAGAATTCAGGCACAATTGCCTCAAGTTTTTGACTGAATAAATGTTATTTTTTAAGCTGGCTCCATAGCCATATAATAATAATTATCCATCGTTGAAATTGTCGCGACGAGGCTCTTCAATTTTAGAGGGCTCTTAGGTAACCAAAGTACCCAATGAAAAGCGATGCCGCTTGTCCCCGCCCATCCCTGCCAGCCATGCCGCCAATTAGAGCCTTTCAATCAGCCCGCGGGCGATGAACCGCGGGCTTTGCCGCGGTTTAAGTCACCATCAGACCATATAATCCAAAAAAGTTGCCCTTAATTGTAAAGTATTTAAAGCTTTCAAAGGAAGCAGGCAAAGAGCAAATAAAAACGCTAAATTTCACCCCGGTTCAATACAACCACTGGAAAATATGAAAAGCGAATCTGTAGTGATCATTGGGTACGTGAGAGCCAAAACACGCGACGACTGTTTTATAACGTTGATACTGATTCTTCCAAGGGCCGGCGTGATCGGCCTGAATGTAGCTCTCGTCCTTGCTGAAAAGGGTCATGGCCGACACACAACCATCATTGCAGAACATCTTCCAGGAGACACTTCAATAAATTACACTTCGCCATGGTTTGTTGAGCAACTTCTACTGCCAGTCTACATTTACAAAATATTAACTGGAGTTCAGGGCAGGTGCAAATTTCTCTGCTATTTCTGCAAGCGACCCGAATGCGTTGCGATGGGACAAGCTTGGATATAAGTATCTTCTCGATCTTGCAGCGAAGGACGGCAAGAATGCGTTTGTGAAGGAAACACCTTCAGTGGAGTACTGGGACGAGCTACCGCCCCGTGAAAAGATCGATTCAATGGCCGTGTATCTCAAAAATGTGGGTTATGGATGACTTCCTTGTGTGTTCCTAAACTTGCTTATCGATTTCTCCATTGAACAGTTCAAAGAGATTGCCGCACAAGACCTACCAGAGGGTGTTGCATTTGGCATCAAGTTCACGACAGTAACGCTCAATGCGCCAATGCACCTTCGATATTTGTTCCAGAAGCTCACCCAGGAATATGGTGTACGAGTCATTCGTAAAAAGGTGCCCCAAGTCTCATCCGGCCATCTCAGTGATGATACGAAGGTGATATTCAACTGCACTGGCAATGCAGCAAAAGAGTTACCGGGAGTCCAAGACTCAAAGTGTTACCCCACTAGAGGTCAGATTCTACTTGCAAGAGCATCTCATGTTCAACAAAACATCATGAGACATGGTAAGGACTATGAAACCTACGTGATTCCTCGACCATACTCGAATGGAAACGTAATCCTTGGTGGATTCATGCAAAAGAACGTTGCGTAAGTGGGGTCCTTTCAGTCCATTTCCAGAACAACATTAGTTCATTGTTGTTTTTATTGGGTATTCCATATTTTAGTAACTGAACTATATCGACAGTACACCGGATACCTTCGGAGAAGAGACAGAGTCAATTCTGACTCGAACGACGGCCTTGCTTCCTGTTCTAAAATCAAACCAGACTGAAATTCTTGGTGCATTTGCTGGGCTACGCCCATCTCGCGAGGGTGGCGCTCGTGTTGCCAGAGAAAATGTACAACTAGGAGCCACAGGGCGCCGGGTTGTTGTTGTCCATAACTATGGCGCCGGTGGAACTGGCTACCAGGCTGGATACGGAATGGCGGTTGAGGCAGTCAACACTGTGGTCGAGGAGATTAACACACTTGATATCCAGTCGCGTCTTTAAATGTTGTGTCCAATGTCCATTTTGGGTGTGATTTTGCGGTGGTGGTGGTGGTGGTGGTTTTTTTCTTTTTCTTTTGGGATTTATTGACTAGGCAGAAGGACTGGATTTACATAGCCGAATAATTTTGCAAACACGGAACTTAATGTAACATATGGAACTCTAAGATCATGATTCATTCTTCGTGTGGTATCGTAATAAGCTACATAAAAATCATATCGATCCTTGTCAACCCTTTGGAAGCCATATTGATGGGGTCACCGTGGCCCCGCCGTGCTATTCATCCCACTTACTTCGTAGCTTGGGGGAGATTTTTATCGGTATGGGAGTATATGTCGTTATCGTCATGCTCATCCTCAAATTGTGTCACAATAATTTCGGGTATAGGCCGCTCGGCTTTCAGGGGGTGATAACACCGGAAGCTCATAGACAGATATGACACTCGTCTCACATGGGAGCTCCGATATTGCAGAAGTGACCGTCGAAACCTCAGATGGAGAGAAAAATACTTTCTCGTTGCCGAAAGTAGTTGGTAGTGAGCCAAGGTGGTTAAGAACCATTTCGACTTTGTCATATAAAAGAAGCATGCGGGATTCCTGTCTTAGGGCAACTTCATAGTGACGACGCTTCCAACTGTTGCGGTCTTGATAGGTGATATGTTTAAACTGCTTCACAAAAGCAGCTAAATCATTCGCGGCATTCTCGGCATCGGTGAGGGTTGAGTTGATCCACTCGATCTCGATCTCGCCCAGGACTGTCCTTTTGTCATCCTGTAACTGTCTTGTCTGCTCCACTGTGGAATTTACAAGTACAGCTGATTTGTAAAACCCTCTTATTTGTTCCTCCGGCGATAGTGAAGGTCCAGTGACCGAGGCAGAACTGATTCGTTTCACTTTTGTGGAGAGTGATGTGGGCTTGAAATTTGAGGATGAGTTTATCGATTTCGAGTTGAGAGCCCGGGAATAAAATCGTGATTGTGAAGTGGCTTGCTCTTGGGCCTGCCAATCATGCGCTGGAACATGGTGTGTTGTATCTTCAATGCGAGCGACTCGGTGTAACTGATCTGCTGATTGATTCCATTTTGACACCGATCGATGTAGCATCAATTTGGCTGATTGATGACACCGATCCTTCGAATCATTTAATGTGTCTGCTGATTTGTGCAATATTTGCATTTTCGATTGTTGATAGCGATATCTTGAATTATCCCACATGGCTGTTGAACGACCGATGAGGTCCCTTGTCGATCGCTGCAATTTCCCTGTCCACTGGCCTTTTGGCCGATGTACGAAGTCGGTGGGTACCATTTTCGGATAAATGCACTTTTAGTGCTTGGAAAGGGCTTGGAAATGGATATTTTGTCTTGGATGTCTCGGAGAAAGGTGGAATCTGAAAGGCAGTTTGAATCCAAATGCGAAAAGTGGAAGAAACCCAAGGTAAATAAGTTTCCCTTCTTAGCCCAGCCCTAGGCTAACACGGAAATTAAGGATGGCTTTCTCCCAATCAATTACTTTCAAGCATGTTGGTTGCCAGCAAATTAGGGCGATGCTGGAAGGCTGTGTGTTGATAGGCAACGTAGTTAGTACTGGAGTGTAGATCCACGTTCATCATTGGCCAACTTTTTGGGCATTGCTAAATTTGGTTGTGGATGGTGGGGGCCAAACTGCCTGGGGGCTTGTGCTGCCCAATTGGCAGACTTCAAAGGTTCGAACGTCAAAGTGTATTGTGGTCAATACGAGGTTGTCCTTCCACCTTTATAGCCCCCTAGGAGTCTATGCTCAGCCTTGCCCGGGTGGAGAGCTTAAGTTTATTAGGGAGTACGGAGTACAGAACACAGAATACAGAATATAGAATAATCCCTGGGAAGGGAACCTTGGAAGAGCCCCAGAGGGGTCCTGACCACGTGGTACCACGTGATCTTTCAATTTATGTCGTCATTTGACATTTCCCCGGATTATCTACGATGGCGCTAATTGATGGAAATTCTTCAGATTAAGTACCTTTGAATTAGTCCATAATAAGGCTAATTCCGGTGGGATAACCCCGGGGTACTATATACTCTTTTAAAAAAAATCAACTTTAATTCTTGACAGAAAGGACTTATAAAAGGAGGATAATGCTGCCAATGAAGATAGAATACCAGTTAGCTTCATACCAAACATGAGGATTCCACAGGTTCTTGCTTTTGCTGCAGCTGTAGCTGGAGTGACAATTCCACGCTCCAAGCATTCTTCTCCTACCTCCCTTACAAATGTGACCATCTTCTCACCACCCTCCGACTACATCGTTCCACGGACGCTCTACCCACGTAACGAGCAGCTGCCCAATGGCGACCTTCTTGCCACATGGGAGAACTACTCCCCAGAGCCACCGGCGGTCTATTTCCCCATCTACCGTTCCAAGGACTACGGAAAGACTTGGAAGGAGATCTCCAAGGTCCACGACACTGTCAACGGATACGGCCTGCGTTACCAGCCATTCCTCTACTCCCTGCCCGAACGCGTCGGCTCATTTAAAAAGGGAACTCTACTTCTAGCTGGTAGTAGCATTCCGACCGATCTGTCGTCCACACACATCGATCTGTACGCATCGCAGGACGATGGCGTCAATTGGAAGTTTGTTAGCCATATTGCTGCCGGAGGAGAGGCGCTGCCGAATAATGGACTGACTCCTGTATGGGAGCCATTCTTACTCGCCCAGTATGTTTCTCTATTGAGCCTTGAGATAACTCGCTAACCCCATTCACAGCAAGGGCAAGCTGATTTGTTATTACTCGGATCAGCGGGATAATGCAACCTACGGACAGACAATGGTTCACCAGGTCTCAACTGATCTAAAGAGCTGGGGACCTGTTGTAGAGGATGTTACCTATCCGACATATACCGACCGACCTGGCATGCCAGTTGTGACCAAGGTAAGCTACGCGGAAGACACCAATTCAATTGCAATTATTCTGTGCCATACCCCGGACAATGCTAACATTTTTAGCTCCCGAACGGTCAATACTTCTACATCTATGAATATGGCTCTTTCTTCGGTACATCAAGCTACTCCTTCCCTATCTACTACCGCTTGTCATCCGACCCCGAAAATATCGCTTCCGCCCCAGGTCAGCGCCTCGTTGTCTCGAGTGGTACTCAGCCGACATCTTCACCGTACGCCGTGTGGACACCTTATGGTGGTAAAAATGGCACTATCATCGCCAGCTCCGGTACACAGAGCACATTGTTCATTAACAAAGCTCTTGGCGAGGGAGAGTGGACAGAGATCGCTTCGCCCGAGGAACACGGCTACACACGGTCTCTACGTGTGCTGTCGGAGGATGGAGGTCGATACCTGGTTGTGAATTCTGCCGGAGTGCTATCTGGTACCAATAATCGGGTCTCCGTAAGTGTGATGGATTTGAAAGAGGTATTGTAAATTAAAAGACAATTTGTGGCGGCAGATATCTCATTCTATAATCCTTTGATCGTTATGGTCGATGTGACCCATCGCTGGATATGTGTGTGTCGTGTCCTTGGTATTTGTCGAGAAGAGATCTTGATTTTGGTGAAAGACTAGAAACGTTGTACATATGAATCTACGTGTCACTCTGTGGCCTGTGAATAGCCATTATTAAACCCATGCATGTACAATCCGGAAAGCTCACCTTGAAGAAGACGCGTACCAGGCACAATAGTGAGCCTGGTGCCATACCTAGCCTACCATCCCCGAAGCTCAGAAAGATGCGGATCTTTCCAAGGTTGAGATCGCAGGTGACTCACCAATTAGTCACTAGGTAACATACGACACAATGAGTTTCAGGTGTCATCAATTAATATGCATACATATATGTAAGGTGTCCGAGTTGTGAGTCAAAAGGGTCCAGATAGGTCCAGCTTCGTATTTTAGGCACCAGCGATCTCCCGCCCTTTCCATATTTCTCCCCACATTAAGCCTCATCTCCACACATACACCCACACACATCTTCCAACCTTGGAAGGATCCTAACAGCCATGTTAGACTGTTCTCTAGAGGAGGATGCTTTTGGGCCAATTGTCGCTCCTTCTTGTCTGCATGGATTTGACTTCACACTCTTGTTTGAAGAGAGCATTCTCACACTCGGGCCGATCGGTGTTGTTTATTTAGCAGCGTCCATTCGAATTTGGAAGCTTTCGGGGGTCCCAGAAAAGGCCAACCGGTCATGGTTGTATACCACAAAGGAGGTATAGGGCTCCTCCAAACTCCAAGAGTTTATGATCCCCCACATTCCTTGCGCTAACCAGCATCGCGTAGTTATTGTGGCTGTTCTATACAGGATGTCATATGGTCCTGCTAGCCCTCTGGTGTCAGACTGCCACATTCAAAACAAAAGCAACTATTCTTACAGCTACTGTGACTGTCATTATTTCCCTTTTTCTGGCCTACTTGTCTCATCTTGAGCATCTCCGGTCCATACGCCCATCTACAGTGATCAATGTCTTCCTCGTATTTACCTTGCTCTTCGATCTCGTACGCCTTCGAACTCTGTATTTCATGCCTATTACTCAAACTGTGACCATTCTTTTTGCTATATCATGGGTCATCAAAGCGACGATTCTCGGGTTGGAGGCGACAGAAAAGAGATCTTTGCTCAAAAAGAGATATGAAAATAGCCCGGTTGAGTCGACCAGTGGTGTGCTGAATCGCGCTATATTTTGGTGGCTGAATGAACTACTATGGCGCGGGTCAAAAGATATTTTGACAGTTGACAGTCTACCTACTCTCGACAATGATATCAGGGCTGCTTCAAATCCTCAGTCACTCCTTGAAAGATGGGACAAAGGTGAGCTCCAGAGTTACGTCTATTATCATACGAAAAATTAATATTAATCCATATTCCTAGCCAACAAATATGATCAAAATTCACTCTTATGGACCTTCGTATCTCACTACAAATGGGCCTTCCTGGAGGGTGTTTTACCCCGAGTTGCATACACGGGATTTTGCTTTGCGCAGCCATTTCTCGTCGAGCGCGTACTTGATTTTATGACTGAGCCAGAGCACGTTAACTCTGCCAACTATGCGTATGGACTTATCGGTGCCTATGCTATTGTGTATATCGGTATCGCCGTATGTAGCCTTTCATGGCTTCATGGAAATTCTACTGATTTTAATCCATCCATAGATCTCATATGCTGCTTACGAGCACAAGACTTACCGTCTTATTACTATGGTCCGAGGAAGTTTAGTCACATTAATCTTCAACAAAACTCTGCGGCTGAGCACTACGGTCATCTCGGATACTGCTGCCATTACGTTGATGAGTACTGACGTTGAACGAATCGGAAGCGGTCTCAAAGAGATGCACGAGTTATACTCTAACTTTACCGAGGTTGCATTGGCCTTGTGGCTACTAGCACGACTGCTCAATGTTGCGACAATCGCGTCTACTACAGTTGTTGTCGGTACGTCCTTATAAAATTCTTCTTTTGATAAGAGCTTTTGGCTGACTTGACCATTATTTAGTATGTTTGGCTGCAGGCGTCCCACTGGCAGTCGCTTGTGGAAAAGCACAAGGCGTATGGCTTGAGGCCACTGAGGAACGAGTGACTGTTACCTCCAAGGTTCTTGGGGTGATGAAAAACATCAAGATGACAGGCTTGACACAAACCATCTCTGGTAGCCTTCGCGATTTGCGGTCTGCAGAAATCGATGCTTCATTTCCGTTTCGACTCTACGAAACATTGGGAATCACACTAGGTATGTCCGGCTCCAGCTGGGAGATTTTCGCTAATCATATAGGGTATGCCTCTTCATCCCTGGCCCCGGTGTTTGGATTTGGTGTTTATATTATTCTTGCCGAAGCAAATGACACAGCTACACTAACAAACGGGCTGGCCTTTTCTGCGTTGACACTCTTTTCGCTGTTGGATCAGCCAATGGGCTCTATTGTGAATGGCTCGGAGGATCTGATGGCCGTGGTCAACTGCTTCCAACGGATCCAAAAGCACTTGATGGAAGCGGAAAGAGTTGATCGCCGAGTAAAGCACGATAATCAAGGATCTCTACTAGCGCAAGGTACTAGTGAAGCGCCTCTGATTGAGACTGATTCCTCGGCCTGGGAACATCATATCGAACCTTGTGCTATCCTTCGAAACCTCTCTGTAGCTTGGTCAATTGACACTGAGCCGGTGCTAAAAGATCTGACCGCTAATATCCAAGAGTCCAAGGTTACAATGATTGTTGGGCCTGTTGGAAGTGGCAAATCTACTTTTTTGAAGATGCTCATAGGAGAGATCCCGGAATATTCTGGCTCGATCTCCACCAGCTTCACTCATGCCGCATATTGTAGTCAATCGCCATGGATTACGTTCGGGACAATCCAAGAAAATATTGTTGGTGCATCGCCATGGGATCGACCCTGGTACGACCAGGTTACCAAGTCGTGCGCTCTACAAGCCGATTTCCAACAACTTCCTGCGGGGGATCAGACAAAAGTCGGCGTTCGGGGTTCTCGACTTAGTGGAGGGCAGCAAATGCGTGTGGTATGCAACTCTAACCCTGTGCATTAAAACACCTGGAATAACACAAGGTTCTCTAGGCACTTGCGCGGGCCCTTTACTCGAAAGAGCCAGTTCTTGTTTTAGACGACGCCCTAACGGGTCTTGACCGAGAAACTGAGAAGATAATTCTAGAGAATTTGTTTGCTGAACATGGTTCCATCAAGCGTTCTCGGCAAACAGTGATTATGGCAACAAACTCAGGTATGTATATGCCCTGTATCTGTGCAAGACATTCAATAAACTGATCATCACAGCGCATCATCTTCTCTATGCTGATAATGTCATCGCGCTGGGTGAGGATGGGCGAATCATCCAACACGGGTCATATAGTGATCTCACCAGTTCCGGTGGCTATATTAAAATGCTTTCCGATGGTTTTAACCAAGTCAACACTGCCAGCCCCCCTTATTTTGTATTGGACGACGAACCATTGGGGGAATTGAACTTGGATGACCAAGACACGGATTTGAGTCGACGAACTGGCGACTGGACTGTCTATCGCTATTATTTTCAGAACATTGGTTGGCCTCTTCTGTCGCTCTTCCTTGCATGCTGTGTTCTCTTTATTCTCGGTCTCAGCTTTCCTCGTCAGTTTCAACAAACCTACCTGGATATCTTGTTCCACGCCTAACATTATATACAGAAATATGGTTGCAGTGGTGGACCCGTGCCAATGAACAGCATCCCAATGAACATGTTCATTACTGGTTAGGTGTATATGCTGCACTTGGGTTCTTCTCACTTCTAACGACCTTTATTGGCACTTGGTACGATGAAAATATCTTTTCGACCTTGGAGGTGTTCTTCTATGACTAACTTTGTATAGGATCCTCATCATGATCATACAGCCCCGAACAGCCCGTCAGTTCCATGAGATTCTTTTGCGTACTACAATAGGGTAAGAACGGAAACATAGTAATTGCTGGGTGTTACTTGTTTTGACCTTTGATTCAGAGCCACGACCTCTTTTCTTACCTCTACGGATATCGGAAGCACCACAAATAGGTCGGTATACTATTCTTTCTTACAATAAGCTTTTTTTTATTGACCCGGTTTGTTGTTTACAGATTTAGCCAAGACCTGGAGCTCATTGACGACGAGCTTCCTTCGGCCTTGGAGCTAACAGTCAATGCTGCCCTAAGCTGTGTTGTTGAAGGATTTCTAGTCTTTGTTGGGTCTTCTTACGTGACAGCAGCAGTGATCCCAGTCTGCGTCCTGGTGATATATTACGTGGCAAAATTCTACGTCCAAACCTCTCGCCAAATGCGTCTACTAGACATTGAAGCCAAAGCACCTTTATTCTCTCAATTCTTAGAAGCCCTCAATGGCCTCTCCAGCATTCGAGCCTATGGCTGGACAGAGGATTACCACCGTCGTAATCAAATTGCCCTCGACGCTTCCCAACGCTCTTCTTATTTGCTTTATTGCATTCAGCGCTGGATTGGTCTCGTGCTAGATTTGATCGTGGCATGTATTGCTGTCATCGTCATCGCTGTTGCAATCTCGATGAAGGGTAGACCTTCCATGAACTTATTGGGTATCGCGCTATTCAACATTGTCAACTTCAGTGGCACCCTTCAGAGGCTTGTTATATACTGGATTGGATTGGAAACCTCCATTGGGGCGGTTTCTAGAATTCGCTCATATGTGCTACAAGCCACTACCGAGGATTTAGACACCGAAACAGTGGCTGTTCCCGAGGACTGGCCTCAGCAGGGTGGAATTGATATAACTGGTCTTTCAGCATCTTACGAGTATGTTCTCGGATGCTTCTTGGGTTTCTTTGGATACATGCTAAACAGTCTTTCAGTGCCTCTTCAGATCCTGTTCTCGTGGGAGTTGATCTCAAAATTCTCCCCGGCGAAAAGATTGCCCTCTGTGGCAGGACTGGCAGGTTTGTGTTATCCTACATCAGGTTGCGTCAGCACTCACTGATTTATATTTTAGTGGGAAATCATCCCTTGTTTCGGCAATTTTACGAATACTAGAGCTAAATAGCGGTACAATTTCCATTGATGGAGTAGATATTTCGAAAGTCTCCAGAACACACGTTCGGTCCAGAATCAACACCATTCCGCAACAGCCCTTTTTCCTTCATGGCACGGTAAGGCTAAATGCAAATCCTGAGGGAGATTCAACTGATGAAACAATTATTACATCCCTACAAGCAGTCAATCTATGGTCTTACATTCAACTCAAAGGAGGGCTTGATATCGAGATGTCTGATGATTTACTATCTCATGGACAGAAACAGCTCTTCTGCCTCGCAAGAGCACTTTGCAAATCCAGCAATATTATTATCATGGACGAGGCTACTAGCAGGTATGTAGAAAAAGCAACGGATATATGACCTTTTGCTAAGAGATCTTGCAGTGTGGACTCGGACACAGATACACACATGCAAACCGTCATTCGAACGCATTTCAAAGATCAGACTGTCATCGCTATTGCACACAAACTGCATACAGTTCTAGACTTTGACAAAATTGCTCTCATGGAAAATGGCAAAATTGTGGAGTTCGATACACCCAAAGCGCTTTTGTCAAAAGAGGGATCGGGTTTTAGGATTTTGTTAGAGGCTTTTCGCGACAGTTCCAAAGAATAGACATGGGATAGTCCTTTGCATGTGATTTGAGACCAGAGATAATTTTACAAGGGCTCAAACTAAAAACAGCCGAGTTATAAACCAACAAGAATTCAAAGTCTAGATGCTGTGCCTCATATCTCGCTTTGACTTCGGCTTTAATTTGGGCTGCTCCAACGAAGCTGAGACCTCCGTTTCAATCCCAAGGTTCCACCATTTGTGGCTAGTCGCAGTATGGGCGAAAATATTTGCCAACATCGAGACAATCTCTTGCGCATTATGTACCCAGTGGTAGGCCTTCTCGGTCCACTAGAAAATATATTAGTGGTGTTATAGCAAGTTTCATGACGATTTCTCACCTCGCCATTTGGACGAATCCGGATGAACACCCACTGGAAACTGTCTGTTGCAATTCCATACACTGATGTGTCTATAATCTTAGCCCGCTTCCTTGTCTCATGGATCATCGCTACTCATATTAGCATAAATTCACGTATCATGTAAATCAAAATCACTTGCCCATATAAGCGAGACATTGAAGCACACCCCGCTTGATCAAGTCTGGTTGCCTCGCCTCGACCATGACCATATTAGTGGAATAGTCATCAGCCATGCCATACCAAAGCGAGTAGTCAACAATACCGGAGAGTCTCACCCGTCGATCATCGCTTTTCCAAATGAAATCGATCTCGCGATCAAATTGCAGGTGAATAGACTTGAGTGATGCGGGGGAGGCAACGCCTGTACAGGGCTTTCCAGGAAACTCGCGCTTCATCTTAGCCAGAGTTGTCAGGATAATCACATTAATACGGGATCGTATCAAGGTCTCGTTTATTGGTGAGCCACTGGTTGCTATGCCACAGTCTATGAGGACAGAATCTATACAAGTAAATGTATGCACATATTCATATCGACCATCTAACTTACTCAAGTGGGGAGGGAGAGAGATCTTTTCAGTCTTGCGAGGAGAAAATTCCAACTTGGTGGGCAGACGATAAGTGAGGTTAAAGTGATGGGGAATCTCACTCGGCTCGAGGTCGGTAATGGCGATTGTAGGCATCTTTTTCGATTTCTTGCGTTCGGCACATACCCTGTTTTTGAGAGCTTTGTACTTCAACTTTCGAGATTCAACGACTTCCTCCATGGTTAGAAAAGAAGGAGTTCAACGGCTGTGAGGTTGAAAAAGGGAAATAGGGTAGTATGGGAGTTTGAAATCTAGCAGGTGCGATTTACTTCTTTAAAAGTCTTCGTACATTGTATCCATGGATCTATGAACTGCGAAGCTTCATTGAATGTCTTTTTGCACGTCTTTTCATTTTGAAATGTGTTTCTGGACACCTTCCGACATCAGGTTCCAAGGTTGAAGGCCGTTTCCAAAAGAGGAAAAAGCACATAGTTGAGTCATCTGAGCACCTCTCTCTATTCTCCATACATTCTCTTCACTCCCTTCTCTGCTCCTCAATTACTCGGCTTTATTCTGATTTATTAGCTTTGCTTTCTTCAAGTCGCTTAGTTGAAAACTCTCTGCTCAATACAACCACAATGATTGAAGAAGACTGTGCAATGATCAAGGCGACTGAGGAATATCAAGATGTAGTGGAGGCATTTGGGCTCTCGCCTACCAGGTGGTGGAATAAGAGGCATCTCAACGCAAGAAACACCTGGAGCATCCCAGATCATCTCGGTAAGTTTCAGCTGTTTATCTATTTCGTTTGCATATTGTGTGCTAATGACTGATTAGTGTGCTTGTGGGACGATCTTGAGCTAGTCACGGCTCGGGACGGTAGTATGCATCCGCTGTCCCCAATGAGAATAGAATCACTTCTCCTCGCTCTACTTGTGGACAAGATCAAGAAAGAGTCCCTCAATCCCCATGGGCCCCTAAACTCGCCCCACTGGAGCTTTCGAAAGCAGGTATTCACGCTAGGAATGGAAGACGACAAAGGTATAGCCCCATATAAAATCATTGACTACATTTTATGGTATGGCCACTGCTGGGAGCTAGAAACAAACATGATCGTTATGAAGTCGAAAAGTCCGGTGTCTCAGAGTTGGACTCTGCTTCAAAACATGGCGAGTATCCACCATGCTCGGAAGCTCGCAGAAAGGGACGCAGTTATCTATGGTGTTATAACTGACGGGTCAAAATGGGTATTCATACATCTGACCAACAAAAGTCGGGTAGGTAACCCTGGAACCCCCAGTGTGTTTGAGGAAGTTTGAGCAATCTTTTCACTAATACTTCCTTTTTAGTATACAATTAAGGTATTATCCTGGGGCGACGAACAGCACCATATTATTGGCCAGATTCAGGACATAATTGATCAGGCAGTTGCTTGTCACAGAAAGATACTGTCGCGCTCTTCTCTGCCTACGCCTACTGTTCATCAAATTAGTGGCTGTCGAATCAGAGAGCTGCCTGCTCCATGCAATAGCTCTGATGATAAGAGTGCCTATGTAACTGAGCAGAATACGTATAATAAAGTCACAGTGGAGGAGAGAGACTGTAATACAGATCCAGAACCCTTGACCTGGTGAATTGCTAGAAACTCATGTGTTGAACTATCTACGGTGGACACGTCGGACAATGATGATGCTTGAAGTCTCTCATATTCTCGTGGTCACTCCATAGAATCCTCTTCTTCCTCCCCTCTTTCGCGGTTTTAGACCTTCTAACATACTTGTATTGCTTCATACTTATAATCTCATCTACTATTCTAGGGAATATAACTAGTGGTGGCATCTCTCCAATTCAAGATCCCAGCTGCGTATGTAGCTTCAATCTCTCCGAGCAAATTTCTAACAGCGGCACCAAAATGTATTCCTGTTACATGTAAAAAATCCACGAGTGCAATTTGTATAGCTGTACTCCGTACAGAGTGAGCCTGTAAATTTATGCCTAAGGCATAAACTCTTTGCAACCCGATTAAACATCACGGATACATCGTCCAATCACATGACGTCTACACCCACTTCGAGGCACCTAGGTTAACAGTATTCCTCATTTCTGTTGTCCACTCAACATATAATACCCGTCTAGATGTCTGTTGCAACACTTCCTACGGAGCTCGTATGTGATATCTGCAGCTATCTGGAGCTATGTGACTGGATTGCTTTTCGAACCACCTGCCTTGCAATATACACGAAGTCACTGGATGCTTTTGCGGACCGGTATTGCAAGAGTATCGGCCTGATCCTCACCAGTCACAGTATTGATCGATTAGAAGAGCTCGCCGCAAACTATAGTTTCCGAACACGAGTCCAAGAGCTATGGGTTGTGCCGTCCTTATTCGGAGGCTTTTATGAGATGGATGTTGAGTCCTTCAAGTCCTGCATCACTTCCCATAGAGACAGGCCGTCTAAGACCGTCGCCCAGATCAATTCTCAGCACACTGCATATCAGACTGTAGTGAAGGATCATCTGAGTATCATCGAAACCGGTACTCTTAACAACGTCCTCAACGAATGTATGGCACTCTTTAAGAACCTCACTGTTATTAGAATGCAACTCAAGGACTCTGACTTTTTCTGGAATGCAAATCCGATCGCAAAGGATGAAGTCCAGTTTCTCGGCTGGCGTGGGGTAACACACCAGCTTGGATTCAACCCATTCGGATTGAACGTCCGAAAACCCATACACAACCTGTGGAAGAGCAGGGCGAAGGACCATGCTATAGCTTTTTCCGCTCTCCTAGAGGCAGCAGTTGCCTCTAACAGGAAACTAAAGACGTTAGACACATGTAATGGTGACCATTGTGCTCTGCCACCTTCGGATGTTACACTCAAACTCACGCACAAATCTCTGCTTTCCTCCCTGGAAGGATTAGAGTATCTGCACCTCTGCATCTGCGTCTGGGAAGTACAGTCAGATGATTCTACACTCAGATACCTCATCGATATTCCTATAATGGTTGCACCAAGTCTCAAGGTCCTAACATTCTCACAGTGGGACCGGAACGGTGCAATGAGCCCTCAATATATTAACGACCTCTCTCATCGTATCAATTTTACCCAGCTAGTGGAACTTAATCTCTATTGGATTGAAATCACATATGATACCTTCAAGGCGTTTTTACACACCACAATGCCGACTTTGAGGATTCTTGCGCTACAGTCCTTGAATTTGAGGGGTGTCGTCCCAATGGACACCGACAGTGGCCATAATCTGTCGAAATGGGACTCCCCAGAGATAAATGAGGAGAGTAGTGCTGCTTGGCGACAGGTTTGGGATTTTCTCGGAGACGGATTTTCGCTACGGTCTCTTTCCTTGCAACATCTCGGCTATCGAGGCCATCGTCTGCATTTGCACGATAATTTAAGCAATCTGAGTGGATCTACCGAGCCGAATGGGCCGATAATTGCCGTCTTCAACGCTGAACGAGCTGGTGTTTCCTTTAAGGAATGGGTCACTCAACTACAGACAGGGCCACCACGGGGACCGCGGATGCGTTTTGATAGTTTGCCAGGGAAAGATTATACTGCGCAGATGGTTTAACATCTATCTAGAGATATTTACGTGAAATCCTCACTAGCAGTTTTGGGATTGTCACATATCAAGCATAGCATAGAATTCGTGAATCTAAACTGTAAGCACAACCTTCCCTCGACCATCAAACCTCCCATTAGCATAATCATAAGCCTCCCTCACACGGTCAATCCCGAAACTAGCAGCAACAAACGACCGCAACTCCCCCTCGCCGTCAACTCACTCAGCGCACCCAACACCTCCCCACTCCCCTCAACAATAAAAAACAACGCCTTAATCCCATCCCTCTTCAACCCACGCTTCTCATGAGCCTCAACAAAATCAAAGCTCGCCGAATCAACAGATATCAAAGCACCTCCTTCCTTCACAAACCCCCAACACCTCTCCAGAATCTCTCCACCAACCGAATCAACAACAACATCAAACCGACCTTCCTGACCACGTTCCAAATCCGCATACTCAACAACCTCATCAGCTCCCAACTCCCTCAAAAATTCCCCATTCCTCGCAACAGACCCACTAGCCGCAACAACATGCATCCCAGCACGCGCAGCAAGCTGCACAAGGAAAATCCCAACTCCACCCGAAGCGCCAGTAATAAGCACACGCTTTCCCAGCTGACAAGCCTGCTGATCATCCTTCTCCTGGTGATTCTGTGGTCCCGACTGCGCACTCCCGCCCAGAAGCGGGGGCTGAAGACCCGCATGCACAAAGAGCGCCTCGTACGCCGTCTGCGCGCTAAGCGGTAATGCCGCGGCCTCTTCCCACCCGAGACTCTCAGGTTTGAGTGCGACTTCGTCAGTTGTGACGAGAGCGTACGACGCCCATGTTGAGCCACGGTCTGCAGATGTCATGCCGAAGACGGAGGTGCCGGGTTTCAGGGTTGTTGTTGAATCTGGGGGGGACTGATGCTACTATGCCTGAGAAGTCGTGGCCTGGGATTGTGTATGGTTGGTAGTACGTCTCGGGCCATGTGAGCATGTCGCGGATTATGGTTGTTGCTTTAATTTGGATTAAAAGCTGGTTCGGGGCTGTCGGAGTTGGGATGGGGATTTGGTCATTGTGGAGAGCTGTTGTTGGGGCGGGGTTGGTTGGGGAATAAGGTGCTGCAGATGGTGGTGCTGGATGGACACGGATGGCTTGCATTTTAAGGGTTCGTCGGTGTATAGATTCGTTTTAGAGGTAAATTTGAGGTGTATGAATTTGTTTTAGAGATAATTTGAAGGGGTTGATTGAATGGATGTTTGGCTTTTTATGTCTTGGAAGTATGGTTGTGCAGATAGGCTATTGCCTAACGGCTGTACCCGCTCGATCATACCCGCTCGATCACGACATCGGGAGTACATAGGTAGCTACAGTCAAACCTCTATATAACGAATTAATTTTGGGAATGAAATTATTCGTTATAACCAGGGATCCGTTATATAGAATACACCATATATTAAATACTAAAATATGAACGAATGTCTCCCTGCTGGCGATTCTGGGCGATGCCCCCCTGGATCTCCATCCTAAGCTTATTCAGAGTATGAATTAGCTTAATATCACCCTCCTCCTGTTGCTCCTGATAGAGCTGTAGCAGTTGCACGGCTTCAAGTGCACTAGCCGATGACACTTTAGGCATAACCTCAGGATCCTCTTCTTCCTCTTCATCATCAGGCGCCTGGAATTGAGCGAGGATTTGTAGGTCAATAGACTCGGAGCTATCGGTAACAATCTCCTCTTCAGGATTAAGAAAGTGCTGAATATCCATAGGGTTCTCGATAGCAGAGATAAATGAGAGCCTTTGTAAACCAGCCTAGACTTCCGCAAAGCTCGAAAAGCCCGAAACCCGACCCGACCCGACCCTCAAAAGGGTCGGGTTTCGAGCCTAGGTCCAAAGCTCGCAGCGGGTTTCGGGCTTTTAGGTTAAGCCCCCAGCTCGAAAGGGGGGGCCATCCGAGCCTAATCCTCCGGATCACATGATTTATGAAACTTACAGAATGTTTAGAGGCTGTTTTTTAGCCTTTAATAAATGTAATATTTAAATCAATTTAGTTCTGAATAGTAGATCTAGATTTAAATATATAAATTACAGTTTAAATTTAGAGAAATTAGTTATTTAAGAAATTAAATAAATTACAGAAGTTCATATAAAATTGTAGTTGTAGTATAGTGAGTAAATATATATCTTCAAACTCAAAATAATAATTTTATTACTTTTTATATTCTCTCACTTTCTACCGGTCGCATTTAGTTTAAATTTAATATATATATTTAAACCCTCTTTCTCTTTCTATATTTAAAAATTAAATTAAATATACCTAGGAAAAGCTGAGATACAGTGATTACAGCATTAATAACTAAGCAGTTTCATGAATGCCAAGACCATATATTTATACAATTTCGAGCCTAGGGGGGCCCGACGGGCCCCCTCGAGCCGGGGTCCGGGTCGAGCCCAAAAAGTTCGACCCCGGGCCCGTTGAGGGTCGGGTTTCGAGCCCGGAGCTTGGGCCCAAAGTTGGGCTTTGCGGAAGTCTAATCGTACGATAGGGTGGAGATATTGATAATAAACAGCATTTTCTTCGGTTGATTAAAACAGTTCGCAAAGACACATTTAAATCACGAACTATTAAATCATCATTCTATGATACTGGTATCTGGCCTTGGAATCCAAATATTGTCTATGATCAAATTGATCCTGGCTGGGAAGATGAACCAGTACTTGAGATCTATAGTCATACACCTTCGCCAGAGGCGGAAATTCCTAGCTCAGTTACGAATTCGCCGCCGAACTCGGATCAAAGGTTCTCAAAAATCGAGAATAAGCTTTAAACGATATTCGAAAACGACGAACCAGACCTTCCGAAGGTTCAAAAGCATATAAACCGTGAAATTCGTGGCGGCAAACAGGCTATCCAAGACCTAGCCCTTGCAAAGCAGACGATTAAAAAGATGCAAAGCCACAAAATTCCTGTCAAAAGATCAAAGCGTATTATAAAGGGTGCTTCTAAGTCCCCATTATCGTCAATTGCAGGCAATTCGAGGGTTCATCGACGCTGTACGAAGGAAACAAAATTGGACATTGGGAATGAGAGTGCGCACGCAAGGATTCGAGACTACTGGCTTCGGGCCAACCAAGCTCTCAAAGAAAAAGAAGAGGCATCAGGAGGTAGAGATTATCTCGATGTAGAAGATGAGGTCTTTAAATATGTAAATATAGATAGTATGGTGGCTGAAAAATAGGTCTGAAATTGAACGCATGAAGTTTTTGTGTTTAGGCATTGGTTTGTGTTTAGGCATTGGCTCACCTACACGCGGGACGGGTGTAGGTGAATGCTTAGTCACGATTATGGCGTTATGCAAAACAGAGTTTAACAAACAATCAAAGATAGTAAAGAGGTGAAACTGATTTCGAGCGCGTCTGTAACTATTTTCGGACCCGTGCGAGTACTCAGCAACTTTTGGATCATCTGGCAGAAAACTTCCCGCAAACACCCATCCAGCCAATTTGCGGGGAAACAGAAAACATTTGCCAAAATATTGATGTATTACTCATACATGCACGACTGCATATATTCGCGAAAAAGCACGGCATGGATACACTTGACCGTTTGAGCCTGTGGAAGCTAGTTCATGTCCTTGAGCATTTAGACTTGGATCCCTGTCGGGTCGAAGGTGTAGTCAAGCTTTTGTTCTTGGTCAGTGGACTGGATAAGGCTGATGATGTATACACATTGATGGTTCATTATGCCGCGTCGCGTTCGAGACTTCTTGTACGGTGTCCCCGCTTCGCCTCTCTGATGCAGAAGCGACCCGGACTAAACTACTCTATCTTGAGCAATCTCTCTGGATCTCTGTGAATTCTTCTCACGGTCAAAACTTCATTTGCCTTGTTCCGAGATACAACAAGGAAAAGGTAAAAGCCAGTTAAATTAGCGATTGAATGAATATCTTCAAGTGTAGTTCTTCCTTCAAACCCCAGTAGACCTAGGCAGCCCAAGAACCAAAGCAATTTTAAGGGTTTGTCGTATAGATATTTTAACTAAGCGATGGGTTCACCCCCCATTTGCAGCCAAAGTGATTTGGAGGCTGAGTGTTTTGCTGCTCTTTTAGAACTTGCCTCTGCAGATGATTTGACCCCTCTATATTGAGCCACAGCACACCACCTTGGAGGATCAAACCCCAGTCGAATCAAACTGTAATCCGGTGAAGAGCACTCGGAATCTCCCATCTCTTTCAGTGCACTTGTATATTTATGATCCTCACAAATCTGCTCTATAGCAAGGTGAGAGTAACTTTGATGGAACAATTCGTCCTTGGTGCGTAATTGCTGTTCTTGGTCCCATGGTTTGTATGGTGTATCTTCCTGGAAGTGGGCGAGCGGTAGATTGTCACTTTCCCCATTTGAGCATTCTTTCACACTCCTGGTAAGGTTTACGATCCCTTCTCGACGCTTGTCCAGATGCCCAGAGAGAAGAACCCGAATGGGCACCATAGATAGGGATGGCTCTAGGTAACCTTGGATGACCTTTGTTCCGATGTTGTGGAAGAAAAGAGTTGCGGCAGATTCTGACGAGCCATCAAAATGTGGTGTCGGCTCTATTTCCGAAAGAAGCTCGTCATACTGGAGCTCGTTCCGAAGCAGATGCTTACAGATCTTTCATGCTGCGGTTAAGATCTGTTGGTTTCCATATTCAAGTGAGGACTCACCTTGACAATGGATGCATTCGACAGTTGTGGAACGTAGAGATATAGCCATAAGCCAATCTCAAGCTTAAGCCATTCAAGCCCAACAAATTCAACTGCTTGGTCAATTACGTGAAAATTCCGAAGTCATCGCAGCGTGCACTTACGTTTTTGAGCGAAGAACCTAGACATGCTTTCTATCAGAGTATGATTGAAACTCGAGGACTTTCTGGTAAAGTATGAGCCTTTTATTTTCTAGTTATCTGCCCTCAATGCTAGGATTGAATGCTTGACTATCTGTTCTAATTATATTTTTGACACGCAATCAGATCACAGACTCAAATGCCACGTCATTGAGGCTATGTTGTCTAATGCAAGTATAATCAGCTGGATAGCACTCAAGCCTCCTCTTGTTCCCAAGGCAGCTTTTTCGTTCATGCTGATGCTTACTATCAATAGTCTTCCAATCCTTGAACTTTTACTATCAGTCACTTCTGGCATTAGGCAGAGATGCAGGCGATGTGCTGGCGAGGCAAACACACTAATGCAAGCAAAGCCTCACAGGAACTCAGCCTCTCGAAAGTCATGGGCTGAGCAAAATTTTATAACTTCGACATCAATATCTATTATAAATTCGAGCACTTCAAGGGTCGACGGCTTTTTATCATTCACAAGAGTGACCTTTTTCCGTGATTGCATCCACCAAGTAAAGGATTCCACACGATTTTGCCTCTCCCAGAACTATCAAAAGACTTATAAACAAGAAGTATCGATACTGAGAGAGAAATGTCCAGCAAAACTCCTCATACCGCATCATTGTCCGAACTTGAGGCCATCGAAAAATTGAGAGTCTTCGAACTGGATGGCTCGGATTGCTCCCATGATCAAGGTGAAGATCCAAGCTAAATTAAAAACTTTATACACTGCTGACTGTATGTATCAGATGAGTGGCTTGGGCTTCATGTTTGGGCGATTTTTATCAGGATAAAATTTATCGAGAGTAATCCTAAAGCCGGATTATCACCTGGAATACCTGTAACGTGGCATGAATCTTTTGTTTGCGAAATACTAAGTCCTTCAGGAACTGGACCGACTGTTCTCCAAAGGATTCAACTCCACCGGTGCTATTAAGCAGATGGTCGAAGCTGACCCACATCTGGAAAAGTCTCTTCATCATTTAAACAGACCCTCGCTTTTCAAAGCTTTGGGACTTGCTGTGAGAAACACATCATTGAACCTTGAACAAATTGTCGCTACTCTTTCGCAATTTTGTCAGTACAAGTCAGGCCCTTCCTCGCAAGAGCAGCATGTCGCAGCTAAAATGAGCAATGAACCATCGATTTCTCTATCCAACACAAGAAATGCTGAAAACCGCCGGCTAAGCGACGTTCAGAACGATACGGACCAGATTTATGAAGATCATAAATATACAAGTGCACTGAAAGAGATGGGAGATTCCGAGTGCTCTTCACCGGATTACAGTTTGATTCGACTGGGGTTTGATCCTCCAAGGTGGTGTGCTGTGGCTCAATATAGAGGGGTCAAATCATCTGCAGAGGCAAGTTCTAAAAGAGCAGCAAAACACTCAGCCTCCAAGTCACTTTGGCTGCAAATGGGAAAAGGTTCGATCGCTTAGTATGCAAATTTTGTACGACTTGAAATTGAGTGAGGTTATAAATCTGAAGATCCATTCGAACCATCAGCTTCGGCTACAAAACCTTGACGTAGAAAACTGGCTGGGATCATAGAATATACGGCAAAATTGTTTTGAAAGAAAGACGGAATAGGCAGAAAAACCACAGCTCCAGAGCCTCCTTGTCCCGTGGTACCGAAAGCCCGCTAATGCAAGTGCGCATTCACACAAAAGTGCTCGTGTTGTTAGCGTGGCGCGTAGTGTCACTCGATAAGTGATATCCGGTTCGAAGGTCGGGTAGACCAAATTTATGGCGCAATGTTTCAACGCCCAGTGGGCTTCGTTTCGGGACTGCATCATTTCAAAGCAGATGAATCGTGGAAAGCAGCGCTCAGATACATTCGATTTTCGAGTGGGGGGTTTCAGCAGCATGAACCTCAAAGGCGCTAAACAGATAGTGCCAGGTGACTTCGTTGTTTGGCCACCTTTGCACTCATATTCAAACCTCGTTCTTCTGCGAGCCTGCTCGTTATGAGCTCTTTGAAACGGTTCTGTAGACTACCTGTTCTATAAATCGCGCTCCTGCTCCGGGCATTAAGTTGTTACTCGGTGCTTATGCGTTAGAAACAGAGGCGCGGGTTCTTTTGTTGGAATCCTCATGCGCATCGGCGCCTGATTCAATGCACTGTGAGGACCCTGTGCATTAGCTCTGGCAGAAACATACACGTGGCCCAATCACAGAGTCTTTGAACTTCGCACAGCACTACATGCTGGCTGTCACCTGATTGAACGGGTTGGACTCGGGTGGAAATATTGTTTTTTTGGAAGTTTCTACTAATATCCTGTTCTTCGCTTCAAAGCACTACCGCATACCTGAACAACCTTTCAACCGTGCCTCATTCCGAGTAGACTTGAGCTATGCCGCAACGTCCGCGTCGAAAGAACAAAGAATACTACGCGATCATTACGGGGCGTATCAAAGAGCCGACAATATTCTCATCGTGGTAATACTCCTTTCTCCTGTATTACTAATTCAAGCTTTATCTAACTTAAAATTGGTAGGGGGATGCGCATCCCCGCGTGACAGGCTGCACCTCAAAATATAAAAGCTGCTATACCCTACAAGAAGCACGAACTTACATGGAAGAGATGGATGTGATAAAGGCAAAAGAGATCATAAAGAGTGAAGCAGGAGAGACTACCCCTCTGGATGGAAACGGATTCTATGCAGTTGCGAATGGGGCTAAGCCTGGTATCTACCCCTTTTACCGGCAGGTATTTTCCAATCATCCACCACGAAGATGTTCATAAAAGCTGACAATATTTAGTGGTGAGAACGGTGCGGAGAGAGAGGTCACCAAGGTGGAAGGTTCATGTCATAAAAGATTTAAGACGATGGCCCAAGCCGAAGCTTTCCTGGAGGATTGGAAAGGGACGTACGCTGAAGTTTGGAGTGAATTGATAAAGGAAGCATTGGATAGAGGTTTCAGAACTCGCGATATTCGATCTTTCGGATCTTTCGAGATGGGGCTATTCACTGAGTTATTCTTATACAAACCTGTTAGATCAACCGATGTTAATGAAATTACAGAAAAGGCAAAGAAACAGCTTTCTCTACAAGACAGCAAACGCAAGGGCTAAACCTTGATTGAATATTCACGTTCAAAACTGTATGTCCAAATCTATCATCTGTAATTTTCCATGTGACGTCCACAACCGTGTTTATTTATAGCTCGATATGAGGCTGGTTCATATCAGGAAGAAAGCTGCACGATTGCCTGATATAATGGTGGAGGTGCAAACCACGTGCTATTGATATTACCTATAGCTATTATTGTAGTTAAAATGAGCATTTATGGCCTGTTTACCTTTAATTCTCGCGGTATAGAAACGCCCCTATCAATACCAAAAGTATGAAAGTCCACACAAGCCCTAGCATCAGTAAGTGCCTTGATTCATTAAGTGCATCATGGTAGTTTTCGAAATACCAAAAGCGTCTCGCAGCAAAAGCTGCAGTTCCGAACGATGACATGTAAGTAATGAGTGGTCTTAACTTCAAGAACAGCGTTAGCGATGCTTGTAGTATACTTAGCCTCAATTCCCGCATTTGTAGGTATTTCAAACTCGAAAGCGGCCTGTGACATTGATCAGAAAATGCTCACAGTCCCGTCAGAGGCTTTTTGAGATATTTACACATCCGAGTTTTCCGCTGGAAAATCGCAAGCAACAATTAGCGAACACTCTTATCAAACGAATTTTGCCTTTAGGCAGGTTGTTGGTAGCCCCATCCTCTGCGTTATATTTAGGTTTTGATCTTTCCATCCATGTAAACAAAAAAGTAGTTTGGATCCGCCTCAGACTTTTTCTTCAACAAATGCTTCTGCACTTTTTGCCCCAGTCAAGAATGTAGTTGCATTTAGTAATGGCCCCATCTGATCCTCTGGCCACAGGAGAATCGAACTTGCCCCCCGAGTGAGGCGACCATATTCCCGGCCCCACGTAGCAGACATGGATGCACGGAATATGCATACAATGACTCGCGTACATCGAACCAATAGGATCGAGAACACGTTGCAATTCAGCAATGTTTCTGCACGCATAAAACAGCATCACTTCTTTTGCGCTTTCAGTTATGAGGCTCATGGAACTTCCCCTCGTACGTTTGTAGAACACCCGTTCGCATGTACAGTATGATCGGAATCTGTAAAATGCTGTTCACAATTATATGGAACAGTCAGTCGTAATAATTTTCGGCACTTTCTTTTGAAAGAGAAAGCTATAAAATTTCTTGCTATCCCCCTTATCGTCAAGAAATCTTTCTTTTCAAATTGGCAGCCCTTTGACTATTAAGAACCCAACACTGTCTTCTCATCATGTCTTCTTCTAGTGTACAAACCTCTTCGAGCGCAAGTCAATGTGTTGCCCCTTCGATCTTAATAGCGATAGCGTTGAGAGCTTTCTTAAGCAAGTTAGTGTACTGGCGTCAAGTCCTGAATCCCAAGCCGCGTCGGTGATGTTTGAATTAATGGACATCAGCGCGAACAAATCCACGCTAAAGATGAAGAACTAAAGAAATCCAAAGATGCAATACTCGATCTAAAGGAAAGAAAGCCAGTCGCCATTGAGGAAATGTTTGCAGCCAACGAGAGCGAAAAGGCAAAGCAAAAAGAAGCCTTTGATCGCGTCGAGTCACTTTGTGCATCAGCTGACCAAAAACACAGAAATCTCATCGAGTACTCCAACAAATACAAGGACTCCGCCAGCAGATAGACATCCTGAAGTCATCATTTTCACTGGAGCTCGGCAAAGTTTCTCAATCAGCGAAGGACATCAGCACACCCCAGCAGAACTTAAAAGAAAAAGAGAAAGCCATTGACAAGATGAAGGCTTCTGGATCAAGTCTCAAATCAATGCTCAGCGCAGCAGAAGGTGGAAGAGCTAGAAGCTGAAAAGGTCTCATTGGATACGGAACTACAAGCGAGCCAAGGCCGACTCCAAACCCTCGAAAGCTTCGGTGTTCAGCAATTGGAGCTTGATAAAGATTCAATGCAAGTTACGT